TGTTTTTGTGTAATTTTTTATTTAACTAATTTTGTTCCATATTTATTATTAAAGCATGTTGGAGTTGTTCATCTTAAAATTTCTTTACCCAGTGAAATTTACATTATGCAATTTGCCACATTAATCGGTTTAGTCTGAAGCAAGGTCAGGACAGTTAGCTATTTGACAGGAGCATGTTTGATATTAAAAATGCTTCCAGGTGTGGCAAAAGTAAAAAGAAAGATAATAGGGGGAGCAGAAGAAGACGCAGCAGGGTCTTTACAGAAGTTTCTACCAAGGCACCCATCTGACAGCTTTGAACCTGCTCCCATTATCAGAACAGGAGGCCCTAGATTAAAAACATACAGGAGAGCAGCAGTAACAGAAAAGAAACTGAATGCATTTTCCCCATTGGCAATTGAGAATGGATTTAATACCTCTCTGTATTTTGAAGACTTTGCCTCATCAAAACTCAGGAGGAGCATCTGTTAATTGATGTTTTTCAAATCTAAATCTGAACGAGTCAAGTGGAGATTTAAACAAAGCATAATAACATCTAATAACATGCATATTAATAAAAAAAAAAGCATAATGTAGGGCTACACTTTCTATTTATATGAAACTAAATTTCAGGAACAATTCAAGTATATTTAAATACAAACAGTCGTCTTTGTTCTTATACATTTTATTTTTTTCCACAAGACTGATGATGCCGTCAAGATGTGTTTTTTTTTCTGCTGCAATGAGCTGCTAAAAGGCTGAAGATTATCCCATAATCCACACATGCTAAATGATTTCCTCAGTAAGTGTTGCTAGTTTTATTTATTATCATTTACTGTAGGGCAGTTTCTAAATGGTCTTTGCTACATTTGAAGGATGTTTGTCTTCTTGTTCCTGTTCTTAATCACAGGTGTTAATATTGTCTTCAAAGGAAGGGACGGGAATTTTTGTTCACCACATTCAGGTTTCCATCTCTGTCTGAGCAGGTCAGTCAATAAATGTGAAAACTTAGTTCAAACATAAGGATCAAGTTATTTAATTATTGTTTATTTAAATCTGCTTACACAGTACAGCGTCCAGAAAACCATCCAGATCAGTGGAGAAAACTGCTAAACAGTCCAGACCAGGAGCTG